ATCGATACAATGAAATTCTTTAGTATTCTGTAAATATGCTCCAGTTTTGTTATTTTTACAGACTATTATTATATAATTATAATGTACTATCTACAAGTTTCATACTATTCCTTTTAAAACGTAGCAAATTTGTTGTTGTCGTCACCAAATATTTATTATTTGATTATAAATAAATATTCAAATTACGATATACTTTACTTCTGTGAATGTGTTTGTTTTTTGTTTACAGTTTACTGTCCCTCATTATTGTGTTTACGTTTCTCACGCGTAAAAGAGATAAGAATTCATTCACAAACTAATGACATACTAGTAGTTAACCTACAACAATTTTAATGAATATGTTCGTCCTAAAAGAATGCTAATTAAGTTTCTTAAAAACAGCATGATTATGAATGCAAACTGCAAATTAGTATTGACCGTTGATCAAGGTCATTAGTCATTGTTATGAGAACATAAACTAAGCAATGATATCTACAATGATTCCTTGACACGTTTGCAGCGCACATGACTCATGTGACAAATTTCACTTAGCGTCATAATCATAATATTATGATTTACCAACATGAAAACATCGTTAAGTCAAAAAACAATGTTTTTTTTTTAAGTATCTTTTTTTATTAACCATATTTTAAAGCTTGTACTTCTGCCTCAGCCTAGAATGGATGGATGGATGATTGGACGAATGCAGGACCGTTCTTTGTGGCATTCCTTGGAGGAGCTCCATTTGTGGTACTTGTGAAGGGTTGTAAAGAATGAACGAATAAAAGCCTAGAATAAAAAAGGAAGTAGAATGCGTTAAAACATGTGTATTTGACAAAGTCATTATACATAATAATAAAAAATATGCACACAATACCTACCCACTGCGCCATATGATCCCGTAGGCGACGTAAAAGGCGACAGAGTTAAACTGAAACAGGACATGGTCAGCAGGGTCGTCGTGGTAACTACTGAAAATAATAAAAAACTGCAATTGTCAACAGGTCTGCCAATCGAGGCAGTTATGGCAAAATGCCTACTATGAGGAAATCAATAAAGGAGGCCTATGTTCAGCAGTGGACTTTAGATAAGCTGCAATGAATTAATGAAAACAGTAACATAGATGGAAAATATAAATAGGTATAATAACATATTTTCAGCCTTCTAATTGTTTCTGTGGCTTTTATACTGATTCTGATCTCATCCCAATAACGACACCTTCTCATCATATCATAAATAGTCTCAATTAATCAATCTAAACATAATCTGGAATATACGTACAAGGTCTTCTTCACCCATATTAGGGAAGATTTGCCGTAATTTGTCTTATAGATATCTTAGGTTTATCAGATGGATAAGTGATTTCTGGTGCCGTTCCCTGTCGCCGGTATGGCTATTTTACATCCGGTATAGATATGACATCCAGCAGCAAAGCCTGCTAGCTTGAGGAAGCTTAAGGTCAATCTGCGAGCTATGAATAGGGCTATGCTCTTAGTTGCCCTGCATGATAGAAGATATCCGCAGTAGAACCACGGTGACTGACATAGCCCAATGGTGATCTATTTTACTATGTCAGTTACCCTGGTTGAAGCACAAGCTGAAGTGGCAATGGACAGACAATACAGCTTGAAGAACCGAAAAACGATGGGGGAGAAAGGTTCTCGAGCGGTAACCTCGTACTGGTAAGCAAAGTGTAGGATGGCCTACTTCCAGAGGGAGTGATGGCCTGGAATGAGATTAATCGTTAATTTTATTAAAGATAGTTGTTCCCCGCGACTTCGTCGCGTGTTATTTGGGGTTTTAATTGTTTTGCGCGGAACTCTAATTCTTTTTCTTTAATAAAAGTAACCTAAGTTACTCCTTGTGACATCAGCTATCTGACAGTGAAAATCCTGTCAAAATTGGTCCAGCAGTTTCGGAGATTAGCCGGAACAAACAGACAGACAGACGGACAGACAGACAAAACTTTAAAAATTTATTTTTATTTATTTATTTATTTAATCTTGCTTGCACAAATTTGTACATATGGCGGACTTAATGCCATAGGGCATTCTCTCCCAGTCAACCATTAGGCTAAACAGAGATATACAAACAAGAGGCGGTGCAGCATGCAGTAATCAAAATAGAAAGCGCTAAAAAAATATTGTAAAATTGTATTTTTGTTATTAGTATCGTATATACTTACTACTGTAATTTTGACATTACAAACAGACACTTCAATTTTATTTATTTGTATGGACCAATTAAACGCGATAAAATCCGTAAAAGTATCTACGGGTAGTTCTATTCAATTTGAACGCTTGTTACAAAAGTAAAATATTGCTTGTAAATGTTATACCTACTTCGATAACAGAAAAGGGAAAAACATTTAATATGACATAATTTATTATGAGCAGCAGTTATGAATATTTATCATGCTCTAAGATATTTATGAAAACAAACGACTAATTTCAGTGACTTTCTAACTAGGTATGCAATATTTTCAGAACTTAGAATATTATTAAGTCAAATATATATGTATATCCATCATAAAAGTTTTAGTCATAAATAGATGATACTAATAAAATAAAATGCTAAAAACAAAAATGCACTAATTAACATATTTATTAATTTTGTACATGATATTCGCTATTTGTTTTGTGTATTATTTAATAATGCTGCACCAACCGGTTCTGTGAGAATGGCTAAATTACCCAAGGTTCACCCTGATCTGTGGGAATTAACACGGGTTGCAAAAGAAATAACAAAGAATGGACGTTGTACTTCCGCGTTAGAAGGGGTTGAGGACGAATCTTGTTTGGCTTGTCAGAAAGAATACGGGACAATCTTTATTACCACGTTTTTGCATGAACGGGTTCCGAGACTTCCCCGTTTACAAATCGGAAAATTATAATTACTACCGTCAATCTAACGTGGTCACCGATGAATTGAATATTTGTATATTAATTGCGGTGGTCTTTTCTCATGAACATTCTAAATTTATTTCTAATAACTTTGCATTTAATCTATACAAATAAATAAAATTAAAGTGTCTGTTTATAATGTCAAAATAACAGTTTTTTACTAAATGCATATGAATGCATATGCAATATAACAAAAACACACCTTTTAAAAATTTTCTTTGTCTGTCTGTCTGATTGTTCCGGCTAATCTTCGAAATGGCTGGACCGATTTTTACCGGACTTTCACTGGCAGATAACTAGTGTTATAAGGAGTAACTTAGACTACTTTTATTTTAGAAAAATAATTAGGGTTCAGCGCAAAAAAAAAATTAAAACACATACATACCTATGCGGGCGAAGTCGCGGGGAACGGCAAGCGAATCATAATATTTTACTTAACCACAAAATACACCTAAAATTAGCATTTAAATATATGTAGTAATAAACAACTTCGGTGTTGCTTGTGTTGGCGAAATCGGTTACTGATCATATATGAAAGTATGAAACTTAAAACGATCGTTCGGGCGATGAGCTACCACTGACATACGATATGTATATTATTTTTATTTTATAAGGTAAAATGGAACTTAAATATCATAAAAGTAAAACGATGATAAAATATGATAAAAGTAAATTTGGCAATTTATATTTGCAACAAAATACTTACTTGCTTTGTTACCAAATTTTGTAAACGCTTAAGGGATTAGATACCCACCAAAATAAAACATCCATGGCATCTTTTTAATTGCTGATCAACTTTCATTATTACAAATTTGTCATAATATGTGATAACTTCACTACTTACATTATTTCTCTATCTAAACACGTTAGAGTATTGAGATTTTCATTAAGAATGGTTGTGATTGTGATTGACATACTCGTAGTATTGGAAAGTGTACAACATGCATTTTTGTGATACTACAAAAATCGGGAGAACATTCTCACTGGATTACTGCCGGTTACATGCTCACTCAACCCGATAAGGTTATAGGATAAAGCTTAAATGACAATGATGATAAGCGATTGACGAAGTTCAGATGAGCACAAAGTCCACGCCATAAAGGTAATATGTGTGGGATCCAATCCCAAAACTAGTCATTTTTGATGTAAAATACCTACGCTCTTGATAATATGTAGCATTGCAACTGTATGCTCCGTGTTTACATTTAAAATAGGAACGGATTTTATCATCATAAACATAAAAGGAAATCGAAACCGTTGTTAGAATGAGGACAAGGCCAATGCAGACTGTAAATAGCCCCGTATTATAAGCTAGACAACCTTATACCTACCTAATTAACAGTAATGTGTCATCACCGTCTCGTATACCTTTACTCTTAACCAGGTCGCTAATTCATATCGTTTATTATTAATCATATTATAAATTTTCAAGGTAAATACGAATACGAATAGCATACGTAAGGTATAAGAACATAATAAAGGATGTGAAACAAGAGAACCTTTGTCTAATGGACTCGCGACCCCGCAAATAACGAAAAATAAAAAAATTCAATATGCAAAATTAAAAATCGTAATAAACTCAAAGGATCGGTCGCCAGCTCCACAATGCTGACGAAACCGTTTTATCAAAGACGCTTGGCTCGGTTCAAAGGTGTTTAACCCCGAAAGTTGTGCAAAAAATTAGATCGTTGGCTGAGAGGCTCAGACCGGAACGGTGCTGAAGCTGGGCATATTGCACTGAGAGGCTGCGAGGTGGCCGGGTGCGGAGGCGCAGGTGCCGCCGCCCCGCGCCGCGCCGCGCCCCATTGGCCGGCCCGCGCCCCGCCGATTGGGCACGGCGCACGTGCGCGCCTACCCGCCGCCACCTGGCCGCCGCCGCCGGGGACTGCATATAAACAGCCGCCTTCCCTCGCCGCACCACTCCGACTTCCGGACGCCGACGAGCGCATGCGTACGTCAGTCGCGTCCCGACTGCTAAGCCGATACGTCAACTCCGGCGCACCGTTGTGATGATTGGACTGTTATTAAACATTATTTGTGAAATTGTGATATTTATAAGTTAAACGAACTTGAGGACTTACGGTTTCGCGGTTTAAGTGTTTGTGAAATTAGTGCAAGATGCTTGTGGAAGATACGCAGATGACCCGCTCTCTGATGACGAAGAAATATGCGCACTGTCCGCTGAAGAAGCGGCCGGTGCGGGAGGAGCGGCCGGCGACACCGCCCACTACACCACCGCACCCCGCCCACTTGGCTACGCGACTTTACCACGACTATCATTGTAAGTTATATTTTAAAATAACATAATTATTATAACACTACATACATTGCAAAAGAGAGCCTTACGCCAATATTAAATTACAAGTATTATATCTGTAGTATTTAAAATTTGAAGTTCGTTTTTATTACAGTTTCAATTAACAAGATTTTTTTTTCTTTAAAAATATAAATTGCGTAATATTAAAAATATGAACTTGATATAATGCTCAATTTTAATTAATCTTAGCATTTCAAAACAACATTTTACATGTAACTTGTTATTTTTAGCATAATTTAATCATGGCTTATATGTTTGTCCGTAGATGATACTGAAAATGATGAACCGGAAAATCTAAGTACGAAACCAGAAGACCTTTCGAAAACCGGCAACTATCCTAGTAAAGCGTCTTCGCCACTATCTGCGGTTACAGTAAAAGTGGAAGCCCGAGAGTGGCAACAACACCAGCTGGACTATTTGTCGGCTTGTCGTTCTCGCCTCGAGCCTACGCCGCCATCTACTGAACTCGCTCGTCCCACACCACAGTACGCATACCTGCCGACTCTCTACACATACCCTCTGGAAGAGCTCTATCCAGCAGCTCCTACACTATCACCGCCAGCACATCCTCCTCTTTATTCCCATTATTCACCTGCTTCCCCACCTTCATCTTGTTCACCACCACCTTGTCCTGAAGACCTTCGTTCCCCGGGCTCAGTTTCCTCAGACTCGGGTGTATCTGTTTCTGCACCACGTCGGCCGCGCTACCAATGCCCCGACTGTGCTAAGTCCTATTCAACTTATTCCGGTTTATCGAAGCACCAGCAGTACCACTGCGCTGCTGCTGAGGGTAGCCTCGCGCGGAAATCTTTCAGCTGCAAGTACTGCGCTAAAGTGTACACCTCCCTTGGAGCACTGAAGATGCATATTCGCACTCACACTCTTCCGTGCAAGTGTCATTTATGTGGAAAAGCCTTTTCGCGCCCATGGTTGCTACAAGGACACATTCGCACACATACAGGAGAAAAGCCTTTCTCTTGCCATCACTGTCGTCGCGCTTTCGCTGACAGGTCCAACTTGCGAGCGCACTTACAAACGCACTCTGACGTTAAAAAATACTCGTGCACCGGATGTGGCAAGACATTCTCTCGTATGTCTCTGCTAAGCAAGCACCTGGAAGGTGGATGTGGAGCTCCCGGTAGTTCTCCTTATGAATACCGGCCTGAAGCACTACCGACTACTCACGCGCACCAAAACCTGCCACCACCTGCTACAGTTCATGCTTACTAAGAAGACTGACCTCGTTGTATCTTCGATCTCGTAGCTTAGATATAATCATTCAACTTTCTTAATGTTCTGCAAAAAATTCGTAGTATTAAGTTTAAATTATTTCTGTAAATTGTATAAAAACAAAAAGTGTGTTAATATTTTTGATTGTAAGCCATTTATGTCGTGTGTTGTTAGATATGTATGTACATTTGATCTTTAGCATATTAGTTAGAATAAGTTGTGTAAATATCATGAACCGCTTTGCGGCGTCGCTAGTCATGTGGCATTTGCCGAGTGTTATACACTTAAATTTCTATTTTTGTATCCTAAGCCATGTACAAAGTGCCTTAATTATAAATGATTAATATATTCTTCAAAAATGTATAACAGTATGTCATTAGACGCTATTATGTTTTTAAGATACATGTTAGTACCTATTTATGAGGCTGTAATATTAAAACCTATTGCCGTTTTGCGTTCCTTTCTGTTACCTCCACATACAGAAAATAAATTTAACTTTATTACGAAACAAATCTTTTCCTTTATACACCGAAAATCCAAAGGTATTTTACACTAATCAATGACCTTATAATAGTATCTTCGTTTAGTTCGTATGTCAACAAAAAAAAAACGCTCTGCCAGCTTATATATGAATAGAACAAAGTTTTCGCTTTGTAATAACTGAAAAAAAAACAAAGAAATGTGCTATGTAAAAAAAATGCAATATAAATGCTCCGTAAGTGGCATATACCGTGATTGTATGGATTATATTTAGATAGAAGTGATTTTTCTTATATTCATATTTAGCACAATGAACAGATAACATCAGAAAGAGCACATTTCGCATGAACTAATGTGGGTCGAGTGTGAGGCTGCGGGCGCCGCTGGGTCAAACAGCCATCGGTCGGAGAGACACTGCTGATACATCCTATCTCCTCGCATATAATATAGTAGAAATATAAACACAATACACCGTTATCAATTTGAGTATTTACTAAGGTGAAATAAACAAATAATAATAATTGTATTCGGCGGCCAGCCTCAACGGAGACTAGCCATCGGTGCAGAACAGGATCATAGTGCCCAAGTGTTGCGCAAGCACAGGTGCACGCTTTATTCCCTCACTCTCCTAATCCAATTAAACGGTAAACCAACACGACCGGAGAGAGATCAGGATCAGAACCAACGACTTTACGTGGTTTTTCATGGACGGAGGTTAGGCAACGCCAACTTCCTGACTCCGGGCAGCTACTGAGAATTTCTTGATGGGAAAATCCAGAAACAGATTTTTTTGGCCCGATCCGGGATTTGAACCCGGGACCTCATGATCAGCAGCCGTACTACTACAACCACCCGATCAATTAGGCAGTCAACTAAAACTGACTGCCGTAAAAAATTAGTTAGTATTTCATACATTAGAAAAGTAATAAAACTATATAAATTGAAAAACAAACGGAAGTCACTAGTGTTTCGATTATAGGATAAATAATTTCTTAAAAACTAGTAATATCAGTGATAGCAGGTGAAAGTGCGTTAAGTAAAGTCGCGGATATTTATCACTTTACGTATAATTTTACTGGTGACTTTAGTGATTCAGATTTAGTAGCTGCTCACACGCTACTGCCCAATAATTAATTTTACTATCAAATTTTACTTTCACACATTTAAGTATATACGAGTATTAACTTTTGACGAACTATGAGACGCCTCAGTAATTGTTAGTAGTATTACCTGAAGAAACGTTTCTTTTATATCTTCATTTTAATTCACAAATAATTATTCTGAGAATATAATTAGAAAACTGACTTTCGATACTGTGTGACCTTATAGCGAAAGTCACTTAAGTTGTGGGTTTAATACACACCCGATATTTGTTTCACTAACAAAAGATTATTTTCTATGCATAAGCATATAAATGTGATGTGGCCGTAACCGTGGCCCGCCGCTCAGATCGACAGATACGAGTTAAGCCGTCAGAGCAGGGGACGGCATATCCATTATGTTTGTATTATGGCGGTTTGATATCGTTCTTACAGTTAACGAGAAAGTTCCGCACAGAAGCCCTAACGAGAAACTTATGTTGCTCACCATCATCATTAGATCATTATCATCAGCTAAGACGTAGTCTCGGGTACGATAAAACTGTAACAGTCACCTGGCTAACAGCAACTAACATCACTGAAAACGTCGACCGAAATTGTATCGTATGCTAGTATGTATAGTCGTAGTTAGTAATCTGCTTTTATCTTTCCATACGCTACGAATATACCAACCCGTTCTGGGTCGAGTTGTGAATCAGTTTTTTTTATATGATAAGGGTAAAAAACGAGCACACAGTCCACCTGATGGTAAGTGTTTGCTGTGGCCCATAGACTCCTATCTATCCTCGATTACGAATCAAAATGCAGATGCGTTGCCATCCGTGAGGACTAAGACGGAATGCCTCGTTTCCAGTAAAAAGGGTCTCCGGTTCTCTACACTCACCATACAAAACACAGCAGCGTTAAGCTGCTATTTTACGCTGGTATTCTGTGAGAGCGTAGTCCTTCCCCGGTCGAGCCGACCCATTCGCGCTACAACTATACCAGTAATATAGCTGCAACATGGCTCTACCACGTAATGTATGTGAATGAGTGACTGTGTCAATTCGAATAACGCTCTATTACGTTTCTTGACACTTTTGCCCTCTTGTAATATTAGGTAACCGCCGAGTGGTAGTGTCTGATATTGGATTTTATTACTAATAAAACTTTACTTAGGTACCACAGCTTCTGCTTATGAAGCCTTAAAATAGGTACAAAAATATGGTTTATGTTGCATGCAGAAATTATTTTAATTTAATTTTGTGTACGACTGTTTGACCTGAAGTTCCTCAGGGGTCAAGCTGTTTTTAATTTTCATTTTCATGGAACGCGAGTAGCCCAGTCCGATTCCCACCAGCACCAATAATATTGTTAATTACAATTTTAAGTGTTGATCTTTCAGGTGCTCAATAGCAATAAAGTAATAATAATAAATTTCTACTGAAGGAAAATAGTTTTAATAGTGGTAGAGCCACGCGGCAGCTTTTGCTGTCGCACGGATAGGCCGGCTAGAACCGGGGTGGTACCACGACCTCACAGAATACCAGCGGGAAGTAGAGGTTTACTTCTGCGTTTCGCTTGGTGAGTGCAGGTGGCCGGAGGCCCTTTTTACTGGAAATGAGGCATTCCATCTTAGTCCTCACAGGTGACAACGCATCTACATTTTGATTTGTATATAAAGGATAGATGTAGATGTCTATGGGCCGCAGCAACAACTTACCATCAGGTCGACTGTGTGCTCTTTTGTCACCCTTATCCTATAAAAAAAAGACCGCGAAAATCTTCACATCTGAGAAATAATATATTTTGAGATAATAAAGTCCAATAAACCACACTTCTTCATTAACATCTTAAAAATGAGAGGAGACGAAGAAATATGTTCAAGTTATAACTTTACTTTGGTAATTTTATTCTGTATTGAAGATGAAGACTCATAGTAAACATAGCAAAATAATAAATTGATTTCATTACTATTTAAGCAGTGCTCTGTTTCTAGTAGTCGGTTTGGTTATGTAAAATGTATTAAATATGTATTAAAATGTGATGTAATTAAGTATGTATTAAAAGGCCGGCAACGCATCTGCAATTCCCCTGGTGTTGCGGTTGTTCATGGGCGGCGGTAGTCATTTACCATCAGGTGAGCCGCATGCTCGTTTGCCCCCTCTCCTATAAAAAAAAATGTACCCACCCTCTTACTTACTTCTGCAGCTCAGCACCCGTGCACCCGCTGCTATCTCCAATATGCTTTAAAGTATTCTTTTTTCGCCTTGGCTTGTATAATCTTTGCCTTTTTTATTTATTCTAAATTAAGCGTCAAAAATGATTTGTATAACACCACGCAGAATATTTAAAAAAAAACATCCTTTTTATTTTTGAACGTCACCTCTACATTTAGATAACTGCTTATTATAAACATGTCGACTTTCAATAATATGGGCACGTAGTGTCTAAAAAAAGACTGTATGAGTGAAAGACACCCAGGTATTATCTAATATTGTAATTCCTTATATAAATAATACAGAATACTAAAAACGATCATGACGTAGGTTCAACATTTTTAATAAAAATTATATACGGGGTACTGTATTGTACTTGCGTTATGCAATTATTCGATAATTTCGATAGTGCTCTACCAATATTTTTAACTTTATGAAAATCAAAAACAATGTCACTGACAAGCAAAGTTGTCCAATATGATAAGTATCGATTTAATATTAACCTACGACCCTGTCATGCAAGTGCACGTTTCTCACAAGTTGCGATATCTCTGGGACTATTGTGGAGCAGTTTAATCGAAATGTTTGAAATTAAGATGCTATCGTTTTGTAGCGGTTAGGTAATGGAAATATCTGATTAGACGATATAATTTAGTGTAGTTTTAAAAACGATACTATCAAAGGACTAACTAACAGCGCATGTGCTCAATAAGATCAATTCAACCATTTTTAACTTTATGCACACAATATACAAATATTGAAAAGTCTTCAATGATATTAATATTTATTGGAGAGGTAAATGCGTAATATGCTCTTAAGAATTTGAAGTTGGTTTTATTTGAATTTTTATATAACAGCTTTATAAATCTATATATCCAATTGGATAAAGTTTATTGGATCTTTAACTTTCAGTATAACTAGATTTTTTTATGCTATAACAATGAGCACCGGATGGGGATGGTGCTTACTAAGATTATACTGGCTAATGTATGCACTTACAGACAAGGAATGTCCATGTGAACCTACACAAATGCCAATTAGAACTAGACAGTGAAGTGGTTGTAGAGAGCGCGCGTGGAGGTGATTGGTCACCGGCAGCGCGCGAGCGCGTGCGCTGCGTCCGCGCGCCTCGTCCAATCCAACGCACTCACATTAATTAATTCTGTTCCTATTTGCATCGTGATAATCTAATCCGAGATTGACCGCCGATACGCGATACCAA